AGCTGATATGTTAGTTGAGCTTGCATGCTTCTTGCACCTACTGGGAGGTCTATTTAGGGTGCAAACTCGCTGTCTGCTGCTGCTGCTGTTGCAGCGAATCCACCTGTGGGTTTGCATTCTCACTGTTCTCCATGGGAGGCTACATTTGATCCCTCCCTCCTTTACTTTGAGCTGGCTTTAAATGACACCCTACCTAAGAAACGCAGCCTTGATGCCAAAATGAGAATCAGGATTCAGGACCAGGAAGCCATTAGCACACAGCATCATTGGCTAAAATAATATGCTATTTATTCGAATTAAACTTATAATTATATTATATCATTCTTATAAATGTGACACGCTCTTGAATTTAAGCCTGACAACATAATTATAGATGTTTTTTTTATTGTATGCTTTAAATGTGCAGTGATTAACACAACCACCCGTGATGGTGCGTCATTGCCCCCCCACTGCCAATTATTTATTCTATTTTCAGTAAACTGAATGTCTGCTTTAAAGCTCAGGGTGTGTGTGTGTGTGTGTGTGTGTGTGCGGGTGCGTGTCAATACAATTGGGTGAGCTGAAAACCTGCAAGTTATGTATGAAACCTCCGAAGCTGATATACCTTAAGGTCCTATTCTCAGAAGACAGAGTCTTCATATCAGTGTTTTCAGGCTCAGATCAGATTTGGCAGATTTTTTCTGAGGTTGCATAGATGACAAAGAAAGAGTAGACCTCTAATATTAATTTTAGCTGTTTTTTATGTTTTGAAGGGAATATGTGATTGGTAAAATATTTTTCACCTTTCCATATATTATGACAGTATAATAAAACAATGATGCCTCATCTGGCTGGCATTGCAGTCTGTGCTGCGTCATTCGGTGTGGGTGCATCCTATTTTGCAGGCTCATAAAAGCCTTGGAGATTTTCACAGGCTTAGCTATTGGTTTGTGCTCTGTTCATGGGAGCACATTAGCATTAAGCTCAAAACTTGTTAACTCTCTGCTAGGTTCCATTTTTACCACCTGTGACTACGTGTGTATTCAGCTTAACAATGACCTGCTGTCTCTTCATATCTTCTTTTATCCCTATGTCTAAACACACTGAAAAAGCGTCTGTATTTAACTTGTCATAGTTGTACATTTCCAGGCAAAACCTGCTCCAAATACACTTGTTTACTATTATGAGAAAGAGTTGGAACAGGTGGCAGGTTCACTGCAAGTGTTTCTGGAGCCCTTTCTGGAGAGGCACATTTCCTGCTCTGCCATGAGGAGCGTGTAAGCTCCGAATCCTACCACATTCCCCTCCAGCCTCCTCCTCCTTTCTGTTTTAACTTTTTTAACACCTGGACTAACAAAAGACTGGCTTTGATCATGGGAAATCCCTTGGCAGAGCAGCAATGAATCCACAGTGGAGCTCCGTGTGTGTATGTGTGTGTGTCTGTCTGATGCACATTGAGCCAGTGCTGCTCTACTGAGGATTCTCAGCATTGAAGCTTCATGGCATCGGTATAAGGTACAGAGCACCTCACATGTTCTACCCGTCAAAGCATGGCCGTGAAAATGAACACACTCGCAAATACACAGAAGCAGGAGGGAGAGTGCAAGCGAGCAAGAAAGAGAGAACATCTTGTTTCTCCTGTGTAATCAGTTGCTCTGCAAACACACACACAAGGCCGCTTGTTATCAGAAGCTTTCCCACGCTGTTGTGGTACAAAGCTCCACACCAGGATGGGAGGATGAAGCGAGGGAGGAATGGACGGAAATGCAGAGGGATGGAGGGTCAGCCTTCAGCAGCTTAGACTCGCTGCGGGGATAAACATATCCCTCAGCGGGGGTTTGTATTTAGGCTAGCGAGATCAGAGTTCAAAACAGACAGACTACCAGGCAGGCAGAGCGACAGGAAACAGACAGTGCAGCGGAGATAAACAGGCATTCAAACAGCAAACAACAACCAGCGCACACATCACACACTTTAGCAGAGGAGATTGCACATTCCTCCTCCACACCTCTCCTCCCACATTACTCTTACATCAACTCCTCTATTCTAGAACATCTCCCTCTTTCTCTGACGCTCTCTGCCTCTATCTCCCCTCGCCTGCCGCTCAGCCCCAAGCTCTTACGTAAGAGGCCCCATTTGCATAACAGGCTGTTTTCTCTGGCTCCGGCACGGGCACATGAGACACACTGGATAATATGTTAACAACTCGGGCTGTTGGTAAACAACAACCTCCATCACAACACTTCACATTCACACTATATACCAAGCAGGTCTTGTCGGTGACAGAGATGCAGTATCTCTGGATGTCTTGATACCAGCAGGCAGCGGGCCAGAGGGGCTGAAACAGCTGTCATTTGCAGAGTGCATGGATATGGCTTCAGCTAGATAGACTTCATTCAGGAGGAGGCTGACCTGCCTGCTGTGTGGAACCTATACAATAATAGGTCTTGCACTGAGAGATGACTGTTCAAATCAAGCAGCCCTAGCATTATCCTCTTCAGGGTTAGGGAGCGAGAGGAAGAGAGAGAAAGAGACTGATGCGTGTGTGTGTGTGTGTGTGTGTGTGTGTGTGTGTGTGTGGTGAGGGAAATGATCCTGACATGAGCTCCGCTGTTGCTCAGGCCTCTTTAAATATAAGCTATACAAACAGGGCACACGTTGGCAAGAATATATGCAAATACACACACAAGCATGCATGCACACACACAACGCAAACTCATAATGAGTGTGCCGCCCTTAGGAGAATAAAGAGGAAAAAGGAAGGCTGGGGAACGTCAATAAATGCTGCAGTGTGAGCTGTCAGATACACCAGATACCCTAAGATACCTCATTACATACCAATTCATTAAGTCAAGAATGGCCTTAATCATGTCTGGTTATTAAGGAAGGACTGCTCTCTCTCTCTCTCTCTCTCTCTCTCATATGCACACACACATGCACTTCAAAGAGACAACAACAAATGATCAAGGGAATCAGGCACAAATGATCTCTCATTTGGGATTTCTCGTTCACTCGTGTGGAAAACAGCGATTAAAGTCAAGGCTTTCATGTTAATAAATTTGTTTTCCAGTGCTTTAAATACATCTTGATATGATTTTAGAGGGATAAAGTGGACTTTATATCACAAAACTGAAGCTCAGTGTGGCATATGCGGCCCTGCTGTTAGACTGACAGTTGTTTCGGAGTAAATCCATCACCCTCCTGCCACTGTTGTACAGTGTGTACCAGTCCAGAAAATCAGAAAGAGTTGTTCCCTCTTTAACTTCTCACATAAATGGTGAATTTTGTTATACTTCCTTGGATGCCATCCAGTACTTAACGTCTTTTTCTACACTGTGTTTAAGTGTACTGAGAAATTACCACATTAAAAAACCACTGGGTTGTGCTCATGCTACTTCTTATCAGATTTGTTAAAAGTGGAAATATTCTGAAAGAAGAATTATTCCACACAGCTAAAACAAAAGTGCTGAAGCAGCTTCTGTATCAAGTATGCCACGTATTTTTAAAATTGGATCCTGATATGAACCCAAATGGTGGTCAAATTCCAACTTTAGGTATAATAAATCATACTTAATCCACTGATCATAACCATCAAGTGACTGTTCTGACAAGCCCAGAACTTTTTGTCTGTTCTATGCTGCATTGGACCAGATCCTACTCTGTTGTTACATTGTTATAAATGTATCTATTTAAAACACTATACAATAGAAATGTGAGCATAAAGAAATCTAAAAAGTTCTGCATGGTGGCACTGTTTCTCAAGCTTTTATTCCCATTTTAATTTCATTTAATGAGATTTTACTGTTATTTATCTCTTCCAGTTCTACTTTAATGCGTGCCTATAAAATGCACTGAGCCCTCTCACAAACAGGCACGCGCAATTGACTGTGACCTTGACCCCCAATGTCACCTTCTGGTGTTTACAGTCACGTGATCTGTGGCCTAAACATCAGGCAGCTTTTCATCGTGTAATCATCACAAATACTCTCCAGATCGGAATAATATTTACAGTCAGTCGAGTTCAGCCCTCGCCAAATTGATATCCATCTTGAAAAATAGAAGCACAGAAATCCCTGGCACAGTGCAGTAAATGTCGGTTTTATGAGGCTTAATCTGACCATAACATTCTCAGCTATCATACCGGAAAATGAACTTTTAAGAATTTAAGGAGAAACATGTCCCATCAGGCCTGTTCCTACAACTCGCTTGAGGTTCTTGACAATTGCCTTCTTTAAAAACCGAAATGCAGGGACACTACACAGCGGAGTTGTGGTACTATCACAGACGCCACACCTGTGCAGAAGAAACACAAGTCAAAATCATGAAAGAAAACAATACAACAACAAATCTGGAAAGCAAAACGCCCTGCATGTCTGTAAGCGTCTAAAGCTGCTGTAATCAGCAGCATCAAGCAGTTCGGTGCGTAAAAACGCTGCCAGTGTCTCCGTGACTCATCCAAGTGCTGCAAGTCAAAAAACAACCGCGGGAGTTGGTTACTTCACGGTGAGGTGTGTCTGCCTAGCGGGCTCATTTTTTTTCTCATATCCCCTCACGCACGAGGTTGTACAGACGCAGGAGGCGCACTAGTCTGCATGGTGCTGAGGTCGTGTCCTGACCATGCAATTATGAAAATAGGATTCCCCTCATTCCTGGACATTAACATCCAAGAGTGATCCCGAACGTTACAGGACAAGCTCTCTCTGTCTCTCGCCTCTAGTTGTCTCACATCACGCACATTTACATGCGGGCGTACCTTCAACGCACGTACGCACACGCGCGCAGGCACTGACACACATGTACATGAGAATGAGAAACCCTGTGTGTGTGTGTGTGTGAGAGAGAGAGAGAGAGAGAGAGAGAGAGAGAGAGCCCAGCATCGTTCCGCCAAGACCCGCGTGTGACCGCGCGTTCTCTACCCTGCCCTGCTGTTGGCCTGTAACATGATGCGCGCGTAAACACACACACAACGCACATAACACATATACGCGCGCGCACGTACGCACCACCCGTCCCAGGCTCACCTTTGAGAAGAATCCCATAAATAGTGTAGAGGGTGAAAATCAAATGACTCTTGAGATTCATCCTGTCTTCCTCTCTTTCTTGCTCTTGCCTTCCGCGCTAACTTCTCCTCGCCGTCTCTCCCCACTGGACCTCGAACCGGACCGGACGGCTTTGTCAGCTATCCAGGTGGACTTGGGAGTGCGTCTTTTGTGCGTCTCTTGGTAAAATAAAAAGGGGGATTATCACAACCGACTTCGCGAAATGTTCCTTAAAAAAACAATATTCTGGGTATTTTCAGGGATGCGCCAGCGTTAAGGTACAGGCTCAGTTTACGGGACTCTGCACAAACAGCAGTGAACCTCAGGGACTGAGAACAGTCGTCCTCCGGTAACAGAGTAAATGCTGTAGCTGCCGTACAACTGTCTGCCCTGGTCTTGGTCTGCTGTGGCGCACAATCCACAGCGCAGCGAACACGAGTGGATTGTTTGAGTCCCGCCTACACAGCTTTGACGGACATGAAAGGTGAACCAATCACGAAGACCCGAGGCTAAGCGAAGTGGGGGGAGCGAGGCATGGAGGGGGGTCGGCGTGTGTGACACACTGCAAAAAATATCAATTTCTGCTAGTTTAGAGACTTAGACTGAGGGTTTAAGTGGTAGTAGGAGTCTCAACAGCAAGAAGACCAATTAGTTCATTTCCCTTTTCCGGGAAAAAAGGTCAAATCTTGTCCAAAATAATGGCAGAAATATTGGAATATTTCTATTGTGAGCTATTTTGGAAATGTGTTTTATTTCCCCTCAGTGAAAGAACTTTTTATTATTATTTATTTATTTTTGCACAATAAAAATAAATCAATGTAAAACATATAAAATGTGCCTACATCATTAAACACACACACACACTTAAACATACACATAATATACACGAAAAAAAAAAACCTGTGGAGAGGCGGAAAGCTGAAAAGGATTGCACAAATAGCTCTCCGAAAAACTCAAAGCATAAGAAATAAAAGACATTCTTTATAAATAACAGTTTATTTTTTCAGGTTTTTATTTTTAAGCTAAAATCTCTGCAGCAAAGAGGTGCAAGTTGCAGTTTATGTGGAAGCCTGATGTCATTTATCTGAGTCAGACACTGCACAACTTGGGACATTCTTCAACTCGTTGCATGATTCTCGATTTCAGTGCATGGAATATGGTCTCAAATGCATTGCTTCCAGGATGCTGCTTTCTCAAATGGACTTGTATATGACTATTGTCAGCCAGATCAGGGTACAAGCTGAGAGAAATTCTGGTCATTTTTTGCAGCGTACGCATAGAATGCGCTTAGAATTCAAAACAGAGAGAGAGAGCATGCAAATATGCTCCTGGGTGTGAGCTGTGTCTCTACATGAACAGAGTAACTTATACGTTTCCTTGCTTTCCTCTCTGTTGATAGTGACGCTCCAAGTTAGAGGGCTCTGAAGTATTAAGGTTGACAACTGCCAGAGCTTTGAAGATTGTCTTGCAGAGGACAATCAGAGGGGTGGAGAGGTCAGGTGGGATGCGATGGGACAAGTCGATGTAGAGGTGCAGGGGATGGAAGTGGTCTACAGGCCTTTTGTTAAAAAAAAGATATATAAATAAAAAAGACTGAAATAGAGAGAGCAAGAGCAGGTTCCACAATACAAGGTATTGAAGGGACAGCAGTGGAGGAAGAGAGGTGTACAGTCCATGTCTGAGTATGATATGTTTAACTCAGTTATTTGCAACTACTCTGTATGTTCAGAAACTAAGAAGCGAGGTGGGCTGAGGAATATGTTACCTTGTGACCACTATGCCTGTAGCAGCAAACACAGAAATGAATTAGGATAGGATAATTTGTTCCAGGAGGCTACAAACTGCTTTGTTATGCTACACAAACATAAGAAGAAGAAGGGGATTATAATTAGCGAGTCTTCCTTTGTAAAATCTGACATGACAACACTCTGTGCATATGACCACTTGGCTTTACAGCCTTTGTAAAACCATCAAAAAGAATATAATAGAGTCACATACTGTAGCAGAGCCCACATAACTGCTTTGAACTATGTAATTACAGTATGTATTTGAATGTAAGGCTTCATAAGATTAATCTCAGGAGGGACATCAAAAACTCCACAATCAGAGGCGTTATGAATTAATAAGGTGTTGTTAACATGTTAGAATAGTGTGACTAGTGTGATGGAAAAGTGAATTTAGTTATGGATCTATGAAATGTTTTATGTAATAAAATCTGTTTGGTAATCACATACTGCATCACAGTATGTCTAATCTTTCACGTTTGTTTTCTATGGCAAAGCCACAGGGCCTCTCCCTTAGATTGCATCTTTAGCTTGATTATAAGATGGCTTTTAAAACACCCTATGCATTATTTATAAAATTAGCATTGCTTATTTGAAGTTTCCTACCTATGCTAATAACAACCCAACATCATTTCAATCACACAACTGAAGCTGCTTAGAAGAGATGGTCCTCCACCAGACACAGAGAAAGTATATACTGGAAAAGCTGTTTGTAACATCACCATTTTCGCTTTACTTTTTCAGTTAATTTAAAGACTGTTAGAGGGCCCAAGTTAGAAATTGCTCTGATTTGAAAATGATGACCTGGTGAAAGATTTAGGTTCAGAACAAGTTCATTTCATTCAGCATTACTCATAACTTGCCACGACGTTATTGAGTTCCTTTTTCTAAAGGTACTTTCAGAAACAGATCCTGTTTTTTGTCTCATACAAACACACTGTCCTATACATGCACGGTGGAGTTCTGTTTTTCCCGTAAAAGATTTTAATCCGTTTTTGGGAGACATTCTATAAATAAACTTGACTTGACTTGGCCTGCTGATCTCATTTTGGGCCAATCCACTTTAAGAGGGGGGTGCTGCACACCTTGTAATGGCTCATTTCACACTCCCAAAATTGGTGTGTGCCATCACTAGAGGCATAGCAAGGAACCACGGGCTCTTCTCTAAAAAGCGTTTGGATCCAGGAGAGAGGCCAGTCAGCGAACTGATAGAAACAGCACATTCAAGTTTTCCGCCTCACCTGGGATTGTCCTGGTGCTCCAGATGGCAGATAGACCAGTCTCTCTCTTCCTCTGTCTCTCTGTCACACACACATGCACATACACACATGCAGCCACTAATGCACAGCCTCCTCTCAGAGTTTCAAGTAACCACCACCTGCTCCTGGCTGAGACCATTGTTCACTGGTCCACCTAATGTAGGCTGACACATGTCGCCAAGCTGAGGGCCGAGCACTTTGGCTTGGATGGAACAAGGCAGGGTGTGTGTGTGTGTTTACCTACTTTGTCAATTCTGTACAAAGCTAATCATAATAACAAATAATAAATAGATACTATTTCAATTTGAAAATATAATAAGAAAAAGAAACGACAATCAAAGCAGGGATCACACAGGCCTGCAATGAATGCTTTTTAAAACTCAATATTTCATATTTGCATCAGAAACTGAGAATTCTATTATTTCTTAGTATTTATTTATTTTCGTTTATAAATCATGGTCAAACTCAGCTTCCAAAACTGTAAAGATTTGTTCATTTACAGATGAATCATGAAATCAGATTCATATTTTAATCACAGAAGCCATTACCCACCACAGTAAACTGAAGATGTCGTACAATATGGAGATGCAACTGAAGAAAATACTGTTTTGAATATTGAATATTACACATTATGTCTTCTTCACACTTTTCTTGGACTAATGACATCTGCGAACAACATACAGTTTAGAAGTTTGTGGTGTGACATCTGGAAGTGTGTGGGTGTTAGTGCCAGGATTTAGAGGGGCTGTTTTCTGCAGCACTCTTCTGCCATCCATTTTTCATTTTCCTGTTGCCTGCTTTTGACTATCTTTTTTCAAGCAAAAAGCATCACCTGGTAGATGAGTTAGCCGTGATCTGGAACAGCTTACAAGCATGAAATGAAAACTGATTTCAAATCACAGTTGTTTAAGGACTGCTGGAGCTCATAACATTATGTGTGATAACATTGCTTTCAGCAGTTAGTTAAATTATCCATGTATGTGCATTTAATGTCAACACACCTACCGTGCCATCACCATGCCAAAACTGGAAAATGTGATACATTCAGTTCAGACAGAGAAGGAAAAAGCAAAGCTGTGAGAAAGGAAATGGTATGTAGCTAATACGGCGCAGCAGTAACTGAAAAAGCTTCACAGCCCAGTAGCTGCTATCCAGAATGGATGTATAACTTCCAGTATGACACAGGCAGCTTCTCTTGCAGACACCTGAGTGTTTTTCTCCCACTGTGTCTGCAGTATAAATGACCTTTCCCTCAAAATTTGGCAACCATGAAGTGCCACAGAGACCAGAGCCATTGCAGGCTGCCACACCACAAGGGGAAACTGTCCGCCAAATGCAACCAGATCCAAAGCTCAGCAGCAGTGCTGAGATTAGAGTGGCACACCAATTGTTTCAGTACCACTCACTCGGAAAGTGTTCACTCTGAATACAAAGACAGTGGGGACTGCCCTCTTGTTAATGAGAATGGCAGAATTCCACATCCTTTCAGAGGTGTAAAAGACTGTGTAGATGCATCTTCTGGATAACATTCACTCTCTCCCACTTGGACTCTAAAAACATGTATGTGTCTGTACTTGTAGAGAGTACGTTTTTGTGATTGGCAATATTATAATTATTAGTAGTAGTATGAGTTTGTTTTAAGACAGGAAATAAAGAATGTGTTGGTTGTGTTGCTTGGTAACTAAGGTCAAGTTCATATCCGGCCATTTTCAAGAACAGAACATTTACTGTTGGTGGCTACAAAGCTGTGTGCTATTTAGCTGCAGTCTTTAAAAGACCATACTGGTGGTTATGTGGGTTTTAGCCCATTAACTAGGAATTGGTAATTCTCTAGAATTGGAATCAGTTTCATTGGCCAGGTATATGTGTACACGTATAAGGAATTGGAATTAAAAAAAACAGCTAAAAAGGACAACAGACTCAATAAGATAAACATAAACATTAAACAGCTATATATATGTATATTATATGAGATTATACAGTATATATACAAATATAATCAGCAATGGTGTAATTGCAAAGGATGCTGAAATAAATATGACTAATGTAACAGGCTGCATATATAAGGCAGGTGGTTATGACAGAATATATGTAATATACATACACATACAGTATGCATAGATTTGTGTTCGAATGATGATATTTACATGCTAAAAAACTGTATTTAAACAATGAGAATAAACAATTTACAGGTACAGTGGATGGATTTATAGACTAGCCTGTGGGTAGAGACTGTTCTTGTATTCGTTCATTTTGGCGTACAATACTCTGTAGCACCTACCAGAGGGGAGAAGTGGAACCAGCTGTGTCCATGGTGTGATGGATCTGCCGTGATATTTCCTTCCTGGCAGTTTCCTGACTCTGGACATGTATAAGTCCTGAATGGAGGGCAGGC